GGTGGCACGGCCTGTTTAGCCGCGCTTCTCCCGCGCGCGCTACTCGCTCGTGGCCGCACCAATGCCTGACCCTCCCCAAAGCTGCTGCGAGCCCGGAGCCTTGGAGCTCCATTCTGTCTGGCAACTCTTCGAGTTTCCCTGAGTCTGAGAGCTGGTCTCCGGGCAAAATCTGAGGCGAAACCGAGGAAACCGGCAAACTACCCGGGTATTTTCCAGGTATACCCGGGGTTTCCAGGTGTACCCGCAAAATACCCCGGTATTTTGCCGATTTGGCTGATTTGGGGCCCAAACAAACCAGCTGATTTCCACGGAGTTTCCCCGGGAAACTAAAGAGGAAACGAGAGGTTGCTGTAGAGAAACACGGACGGAAAGGAAACGAGACGGGGTGGGCGAGGAAACATGCATGCAGCCTAACCCCCCCCGCGGCCTCTTGCATTGAGCAAATTCTTCTCGAGATCGCTCTTCGAAGCTGTGAGACGTCCTTTCGTGATGGCCCTTTGGATCGCTTTTTCGCACAGACAGCCGGTGCGCCGTGCGTGTGAGGCTAGAGCAGACTGCTCCGCCTCCAGCAATCCCGCACCGTCTGCTTTCATGGGTGCGTCGCTTTGGTTCAATGCTCAGCCCCTGTCATTGCCGCTAATCCACTTGCCGGTCGACGCGTGCGGGGTTTTGCTGCCCGGCGAGTCAAGGCGGATACTCATCGAGAGGGAGGATGATCTGGCAGCGCTGAACGAGATGCAGTTTGCTTGCGTCGGCGTTCTTCCCACCACGCCGCATTGCGCTCGCGTGTCCACGCTGCTGAACGTGCGCGAGACGCGGCGGCAAGAGGTGGGCGCCTTGATCGAGGTCGTTTCGGTGGGAAGAATTCACGCAAGCCAGATCGAGCACGATCGCTGCTTCACTGCGCATGCGAGGCCGGCGTTTGACGGCCGCGCCGAGCCGGACATCGACATCCGAAAGCTCGTCGCCGAACTCCGCTCCACAGCCGAGCAGCACGATACCATCCGGCGGAAGCTCAGATCGACGCCTCTTCCTGTCAGAATCCCCGGCTCCTTCCTCAGCGACGAGGTAGGGACGCTGAGCGGGATGGTGGTCCCGACGGGACGCGGTACGCACCCGGGCTCGTGGCTGGAGCAGGAGTGCGCCCGGATGCGCGAGGAGCTCTGCGTGACGGATCTGGACGCAGCCCCAGCCGCCTCGCTCGAGCGGCTCCATGCGCTATGGGGCGTGCCGGACGAGGAATCTGCCGAGCTGCTGCTGCTCTCCTTCGCCGCGTGCGCTTCGCTCACCGCCACGCAGCGCGCCCTCGCCTGTGGCACGCTCGACACGGCCGAGCGCTTGCGGTATGCGCGCCGCTGCCTGCTCGAAGGCACCAGCCAATTCTCGGTCAGGTGTAGTGGATCACCTTAAAATCCTGGATTAATTCCTGAGCCCACCTGGCCCCACCAGACGGTTGGCGCGAGGTGCCCGGGCCACTTTTTAGCGGCTCCCGAGCCTCCCGGCGCCTCCGGTGGCCTCCTGAACCCTCTCCCGCAGCCTCTCTCGGCGACGTGGGGAGCGTCTGCCGTCCACGGCTCGCACCGGCTCTTCCAGCGGCTCCACGCTTGCCGCCCGTGACGTCCGCGCCACGCACCACCACGCGGCCGCTCGAGAGAGCGGTCGACGCCCATACTGCTGGGCGTGGCGCTCTATCGGTCGACGCTTTGGCGTCGCTGCTTGGTCGGTCCAGCGTGCCTCGACGCGCGTCGCGGCCGAGTACGGCTCGATGGCACAGCGCGTCGCCACGGATAAGATGCGGCAGGAACGTGACGGGGAAGCTCCAAGACCGCTGCGTTCTTGCAGGAGAGGTAAGACTCTGGGCCTGCATTCGTGTGGGCCTTCGCGTCACTTCTGGGATGCGTCCAAATAATGAATCTTATATCGATCCACGTGATGCAATCCGCCTAGTTTGTGTAGGTTTCTTGTTCTAGGTAAAGGCCACTGAGAGACCACCTCACTCAGACAGGCACAGACCAGACAAACAAGAGACACAGGGCACACATACCATCACGCGCGCGCGGTGTACCCGCTACGTAATGTGCGCGCCTGAGCCTATGCTATCTACTTGCAGACGTCCTCAAACCTGCCCGCACGCGAGGTGGAAGAGAGGCTGCCACCCTCCTCCTTCTCCCACTTGAGCTCTGGCACGGGGAGGCAGGCGCGTCGCGGCGACGCGGTCTTGCTCGCTCGGCAAAGCCTTGAAGATGGCAAACTCGCCGTTGAGCTCGTGCAAGTTTTGACCCACTCGACTGGCACCGAGCGTCAACGGCCAACGGGCCGCACGTTCTTCGTACTTCTCGAGTGTGGGTTCTTCGCCTCCCGGCCGCGCGCCGTGTGACGAACCACGTATCTCGCCGTCGGCCGTCTTGTCGTCCTGGCCGGGGTGAGGAGGGGTGAGTAGCTCCGGCCGCTGCAGCAACTTCGCCACCACCTGCGCGAGCAAACGCAGGAGAACTGTGTGTCAGTACGGCTTCAGTGCCGCTCCTAGCGCACACGCAACGGCGGCTTGGCCCAGACTGCCAGCCACCTCTCCAGCTGCAGCGACAGCGGCGCGTCCGGCGACGCGGAGGCGGAGGCGAGGACGAGCAGCTCCATCAGGCGGCCGTCCGCCTGCTCGAAGCCGAGCTTCCCGCTCCTCGTCCTGCCATCCGCCTCGATGACCGCATCGGCCGCCCAGTCCGCGGAGGCCGCTGCTCTCCCACCGCCTCTTCCGACGTCCGCCGCCGCTTGAGGTCGTAGCGTTGGTCGGTCCTGTCGCGCATCTCCTCCACGGGCGCGTAAGCCGGCTCGGCGGCGAGGGAAACCGGAGCTCCGCGGTGCTGCGAGCCGCCCGGGCTCGTCTTGGAGCGAACAGGCCGGCTCGAAGGTGGCGAGGCGGGCTGAGACGGGCCGGTAGCGTCGGAGGCGGTCGCGGGTAGCGGCACGTACTTGGCGCAGTCGGCAAACTTGCCGTCGCAGGCCCGCCTGGAAGCTCGGCAGATGACACAGGCGACGCTCAGACGCCCACGTTTCGACTGCTCCGGCGGCATGGACGCCGACGCGGAGAGGCGGTCCGAGCGGTGTCGGGGTGGCTCACGAGTCACTCACACAGTCGGACGCGAGGACCGCCGGCTCGGAATAATTTTCCGGTGCCCCAGTCGGCTTGCAGGCGTGAGAGTCGGAGGACGAGCCTCTCACCTGCTTGTTTTTTCCGTGCCGTGAACAGAGCACACCGAAAATCGGACCGGAAAAATACTCCGGCTGCTGCGCGGGCCCAACGCAGGCATGTGTGAGTCGTGTCGGGCGGCCTCCGAGCGCTCGCGCGCCTCCGTCTAACGGTGCGCTGCTCGTCTGACGGCGAGGTCGCGTTTTCACACCCAAAGGAAGGACACTAGTGAGACGGGGGGGTCGCCCCGGTGCCCCACGCGCGCTGGCCGTGCCAACGGGTCCGCTGGGGTCCGCTGGGCCGCCTCAGACCACCGAAACTATTTTTTCCTGCATCCTGGAACGGCTGACCGAGAATTGGCTGGCACGAAGCGCATGGTGGCACAGGCGGCCATCCGTGACGCACTCGAGGGAGTCTTGTAATGTTTATCAACAGACCCCAAGGGAGGGATGGGAGGACGGACGGGTGATCGTTTTCTTTAGCCGTGCGAGGGAGTTTTGTTGTAAAATTCTTTAGCCTCTCTGTGCGTTTCTTCTGTTATAACAGATTCTCAAAACAGTTACCGGCGGGCTCGCCTCATATATGCGTGTATCCCAAGTTTCTCCGAGACCTCGCGAGCGGGCAGTTATTCGCAGCTGGGCATTGCGGGCTGGGCCGGGCAGGGCAGTGTGGGTACACTGGGTTTCCCACACGGCAGGGGCAGGTGGAATCGCGGTTTATGTTGTGCGGCAGCGTGCAGGGTTCGGACTTTTTGCGGGGTATGGTAGCATCACGCAACCCACCTGGAGACCATACCCCCCCCCGCCTGCTGACAGACCCAGCCTCCCGCCGACGGGACCATACCCCCCCCCCCCCACCCGCCCCCCCCCTCGCCCCGGAGACCGCGCGCCGGGCGCCTTACTGCTAGGAGGCTCCCAGGAGGGGCTGCAGACACCGACACGCACACTAGATA